CTTATGAGTGGGCATATGCAGTGAGTTTGGGTGTTTTTTTTGTTGTTGTTTATCTCACTGTCTTCATTTCTTACCTTCTTTCCCCTAGTCAGAGCTAGTTACTCTCCTATGAACGCCTGAGGGTACTTGGTAGGCTGTGTCATTGTATCCATCTTTTGAAAGCCACTGCAAAGCTTCCAACAGGTCCCAGTCACCATCCTCCAAATTATCGATTGAGAGCCCCCCCTGGGTGCCAGCTCACCTTCTACCTCCTTACCTACACCCATAAAAAGTTCATCAGAATTGCCCAGAAAGCCATACCTTCTTGGATGGATTCTTTTTTCATGAATTTGGGAAAGAAACTTTGATTATTATTATTATTATTATTATTATTATTATTATTTATGATGTGTTAACAGGGATCGATTTTGAAGCTGTTGACCTAGTGTTAACATGATCAGAAACAGTTTTTAAGGGAGCGGTTTTTACCCCTGTCTTTAAAAACAACAATAAAAAGCCTGCTTCCAACTGGGGAAAATAGAAGGATAGAAGGAAAGAAAAAAAAAACCAACCACCCCTAAGTGACTAATGGAATCAAAAAAAGGAAACATGGATGTATAAGCATCCTGCGGAACAGCCCCCGCCCCCTCCCAACTAATGAAAGTCAAATCAGGAAATGGGTTTAGAAGTGCATGGAGACTGGGTGGAAATTAGGATGCAGAGATCTTTGTACCCAGAGATCCCTTTCATGGGCTTGATGGGACTTGCTGATGGAAACTGTTTCCAATGAAGCTAGTTCAGAAATTGTATCTGTGCATGCTTTACAAATCTATACACAACCTCCATCATTGACATCGGAATAGTCAAAATCACAAATGTCTTCACACTAATTGGTGGCAACTCTGGTGGACCCTAGAGTCAATACTCTTTGGTGGGAGCTGGGGTATCTTTCCCACCCCCTGCCTGCCTGCTGCCTGCTGCCTGCCCCAAGCAAAGAATGCCACCTTCTCTTTCAAGGAGCGCCAAGCCCAGGCCCAAGTCCCCTTTCTGGGCTCCCTCCGAAGGACAGCACACGGGCTCCTGGCTCCTTTCCGAGGCTCTCTCTTTGGTGGGATTGGAAGTGGCCCTGGAAACTCTCCTGCAGATCCCACCCAGGTGTGGGCCCTTGAGGACTTCAGAGCCTGGAGTCCTGTGTTTGGGCACCCTGTGGGACCAGGGACAGCTGACTTCCTGGTCTGGGGTTGCTTGAGTCTCATTTGCTTCCTCACACCCTGTCCCCTTCACACCAGGGCTGTTTTATTGTTTTATAGCCTTCTTTAGCGCTTCAGTTGCCCCAGATTCCGATGGGGGCTATTTTCCACTTCTCACTTTACCAAACCCCAAGTCTTGCTGTTTTAAGCAGTTTGGTCACTTACAAAAACTTCCCCTTTCAGATCTAAGCAAATCCTAGAAGCCCGTAGGCATGAAGCTACCTTCAGCTTTCCCTAGCCAGTCCGTAACAATACCCAGCCAAGTGTTAAATCCCACAGCTGCCCCCCACCCCCACCCCCAAGCCCTCCCAGCCTTTTCCCAACCACTCTCTCTCCCTACTGAAGCTCGAACGAACAAAATTTCAAATATCTCCCATGCAAGAAGTGGCCGTTGGCTTGTTGGCTTTCTTCTTTATTTCTTTACACATCCAGCACTAGAGAACGATCGAAATAAAGGAGGGGACAGTACTCACAGTGAATGCAGTCAAAGAACCATAAGCCATGGCCACCAACCAGCCTTTTCCAAATAGCACTATGTCCCAACTTACCCAGCTTCCTCTGAAAAGATGCTATTTGAAAAGCAGGGGGGGGGTATTGATATGAATATGACCTCCACTGCATCCTTGATATTTGGGACTATTTAAATCGGAGGGAACAGTTGCCATGAACCTTTATTTAGGGAATAAAAGTTTAAAGCAGAAGGTTATTTATGGTTCTGCAGAGACGGGACCTGAGTGGCTATTTACAAGCACGTGATTCCAATAAACTTTGTTTTATGGCCTGAGAGTTGACAAGCCAAAATATAATTCCCACCATAAATTAGGTTAAGAGCATACAAGTGCACATGCTCGGTTCCTGGAGCAGAGATAGGAAAGCAAGAGGCTCCAGCCAGCGGCCAGGCTCAGAAGGAGGCAGCTGTACTCCCAACTCCCCTCCACTGGAAGAGAAAAACAGTAAGTCCCTTATTACTTTCTGCTGTGAGAACTCCAGGAAAGGGGAATTCTCTGCCCTGTTCTTGCTCCATCCGGGGTGAGGAGAAATCCCAAAGAAGTTCTCGTTGGGATTTTCACCTACATCTAAATTATGAAACATTTATAGAAGGGGATGCCAGACTCTCTTCTCCCTCCTTTCTGAACATGGAAAACTAGGATCTGAGGGCGCCCACTTTTTTAGACAGTGTCCTCCCCAGGATGGGACCTGGCTTCAGAGGTGGATAAAAACAGTGGTGGTCTGGTGGGGGGTGGGGGTAGAAAGAATGGGGGCTAAGATTGGGGCTTTGCCCCTTAGATTTCTGAGGAGACTGCCACCCTGGCCTCAAACTGGAGGTGACTATAAACTTGCCGCTGGGTGGGATTACAGCTACTGGGGGGACCGTGCCTTGGGAGAGAGCCCTGGACTCTCTCTTCAGCCACGAAGCTGCGACATTCATGTCATACCAGAGAGCTGGGTAACAATCTGAAGCATGGCCTTTACCTTTGAAACCATTGATTTTCCTCCTCCTTGGTTATCATTTGGGTCCTCATTTCCCTGGGAAATGGCTCTTTGTTTTGAATTGGAGCAGAAATGGGAAGGCCAGCCCCAGCCAAGGGGGATCCTCCTTTGGGGAGTGGAAAGGCTGAGGGGTGCAGGGGCGGTGTCACTGGTTGGGATTGGGAATTTGAAACTGACCCAAAGCTGGAAAGGGGTGCTAAATTGTTCCAGTGACGAGCGGGACAAGGTGCTTCCACTGGGGGCAGGCAGACAGTGCAGAAGGAAACACACAAAGGCCCATTTTTGCCTTGCTTCCCATTTCCCACTGGGAACCCCCTATTATGGGCAGCCTGAGTCAGGCCAAGCGAACAGTAAGTCTTTGCCCAAGGGTGCCTGGAACCAGCGAGGTGTTGGGAGCCACACTCTCTCAGGCTCTGTGTGTCTGCCCTTGGGGACTGAGATCTTCCACTCGGCAGGAAACTTTGTGCAATGCTTGGGGGGCGGGTACCCTGAAGCGGGGAGGTCTGGGTATTGGGGTGGGGTGTCTGGGCCTTGTCATTTTTCTGCATATCATCCTTCTCTGTTTTACTGTCCTGTAGAATTTAAATGACCCCGTTTTTATTGCAACAGGTTTGGGGATCACGAGAGAGGAGCCGTCCCTGTAAGTACAGTCTCCTTTCTTCCAAATGAATGGCGAAGAGGAGGTCCGAAGGCTGGGAGGTGGCGGTGAAGGACCTAGATGAGTGGCAGGGGCAGTGGGTGAGTGGCAGGGGAAGCGCGTGGCCCTGGCTCCCCAGGCTGGGGTGGGGAGCAGAAGTAGCTCTGGGTGGTGGAGACCCTCCATGGAATGCCTGGAAAGCTTTTAAGGGGCCTACCTGCCTTAGGGAAGGGACTGGGGACCTTTCTGGCTCTCCTGGAGCCTCCCAGGGCCTTCCTTGCTCACACAGGTGCAGCCCCAGCCCCACCACCTCAAGCATGCTTCCTGAACAGCTTGCTGCTAATGGGCAGCCCGCTGGACTCCCGTGTTGGTGTACCTCGCCTGGCCACTCAACCAGCCCGGTAGCACTCCCAGGCTAAGCGAGTGCCTTCTCCGCAGTGCAGCCGGCGCGACGACGACGACGACGGAACAACTCAATCCAGCCAGGCCGACCTTCTCCCGTTGTGCGTGCGCATGTGTTGACTTTTATTTACGTGTTTTTCATCAGAAAAGATCTAACCCTCTTTGGCTGTGGGTGTGTTGAGTTGGCCAGTTTTGGGGGGATGGCTGAGAATTCGGAACTTTTACATGAACACCCCTCCTCATCCTCCGCTCAGGGCCCTGGTCTAGCCCGCAGTGTGGGCCCTGGGCTGGGGGGCCTGGGCTGAGCTGGAGGGGATTCTTCTTCGGGCACTCTCATTCCCCTCTGCTTCTCTGCAAAAGGCAGTTGAAGAATTGAAGACCTTCGCTGTGCCTAAGCCCCTGGATCCCGCGGGAAACCAGGATTGGGATGCTGGGGGCTGAAGGGGCTGTGGGAGGGATCGGGATGCAGCGTGGGACAGAGACCCTTAGGACCTAGACTTGGAAGTTTTCATCTGTCGTGGGGTGGAAGGGGGGATAGGTACATTTCTAAGGAGGCAGGTGACATCTTTAGGAGGCCCACCTCCTTCTGATTAGTATGGTTTTTATTGTTTTATTTTCAAATAGGTGGGGAGAGTTGAGAAAAAAACAGTGGCCCCTCCCTCTCTGCCAAACTGAAATGATTCTGTTTTAATGGGCAATGGGATATGTGAGGGTGATTGGAAGAGTCCCCTCAAGTCCCTGGTTAGGAGCCCCCTCAGCAGCAGGAGTTTGTCTCTGGGCCAGCTTTCGGTGCCCAGTGGGACTGGGCATGGTAGTTAGACCCATGGGGGCTTGTTCACCCTTAGGAGTGGAGATCCAGCCAAGCAGGCAGCTCCAGTCCAGAGGTAGGCCACCTCAAGTGAATCAGGTTTCTGGGCTCCAGGCGAAATAATCTAGCACCCCTCAGGTCCTCAGGTCTCACCCCCATCCCACCCCTGCCCCCTGGCTCTGGGTGCCTTATCTCTGCAGAGGTTCCTGCCTTGCAAGGCGCCCTGTAGTTGAACACAGCACAAAAAGCGGAGAGATCAAAAGCATTTGTAGGAGCAGTGGAGCAGGAGGTGAATATTTAACGCTTTTGTTCATCAATAACTCGTTGGCTTTGACCTGTCTGAACAAGTCGAGCAATAAGGTGAAATGCAGGTCACAGCGTCTAACAAATATGAAAATGTGCACCCTCTTCCCTGTCCCACCGAGCCCTGCAGGCTCCTTGATTTGTCTGGATAAAGCCGGCCATGTGTCCCCAGGAAGGTAGGTGGATGGAAGTGCTTGATTAGGGTCAACCTGGGGGGTCGGGGTGGGGGCTCTCCTGGAATTGGGAGTAGGAGAACTTCAGAGTCATTGTTAGAATTGGCACCCAGGAAATCCCCATAAAATAGCCAAAATAGCTAAACCAAAGGATTACCAGGTCAAAATAAATTAGTAAAAGTATACCAATTTTAACCAGGCTAGGGGTGCATGGGTGGGGACAGGTTCTCTCTGCCCTACCCCACCAGGCCCGCTCTGTGACTTGCAAGTAATTTTTAAATCGTGGGGGTTTTTTTTAAGGAAAAAATTAAAACAACAACAAAAAATAAGCCATCTTTGTCATGATCAGGGCTCCAGGAGCCCCACCTGAGCCCGGGCATTCTTCTGCCCCTGATACCGCCCAGGTCCTCAGCACATCTGTGCCCTGGGTGCCATGAACAGAGGGGCAGCCCGAGACAGCGCCGGGGATCTGGGGCGGGTTCAATTCGTGAACTTTTGTACTATGTAGGCCAAGCAAAAATAATGAAACTTTGTGATAATGTTTATAAATTATTTCGAATGACCCTTCGCTCTGCCCTTCAGCATTAGCGCGTGCGTTGGCCCTAGCCCAGGGCGGCTCCTGCCAGCAGCAGAGGCCTTCAGGTTTGCAGCGGCAGCAGCCTCTGCGGAGAAGGAAGAGGCCAGCCGGGCCCAGGGTTCTGCAAGGTAAAGGCGGGACACCCTGGAGGAGCTCGTTTTGGTAGCCGTCCTGAAGTGGGAGAAGAGACCTAGGTAGTGGATATGTTCCTCTCTTGTCTCCTTTTCTTCTGCGTATTTCTGGAAAATACCACTTGGTAAGGGTGGGTGGGTGTGTTTGGATTCTGAGAATGAGGTGGTGATAAATCCTCCATCTCTGGGGTGAGTTATCTTTTATTATTTTCCGTGCTTTTCTTTCGTAAGAAGAATGCCCTCGCTGGCTGAGTAGCCCCGCCTTTGGCACAGGATTAGGGAAACTCGTTGCTGCAAATTGCCGCCAAGCCCACCAGGATCACTGACCCATCTCTGAAGCCCCAAGAACTCCGTGGGTCCGTGGCAGCTTGGAGGAAGAGGCCGGGAGCTGGCAGCAGTCTGGGTACCAGCTCCCGGCAGTACCCAGCGGTTGTCACGTTGTCTATATATACCCTGTAGAACCGAATTTGTGTGGTATCCGCATAGTCACAGATTCGATTCTAGGGGAATATATGGTCGATGCAAAAACTTCACTGTTTCTCCGAAATTGCTGGAGCCCAAAGTGGAGGTTGAGACCGCCGGCTGGTCAGCATCTTTCTGTCTTATTACCTTGGCCTCCAGGAGGATCCGCTAGCCTGGTGACACAGAGCTGCCTGTCCCTTTCAGAAGCTCTTCACCTTTAAACAGTGGCTTCCATCGGTGCTGCAAAGAGCCCCATTTAAACCAAAGAGCTAGGTATTGGGGGGCTGGATAACCAGGGGGGAAGCCATTCCACCAACCCTCCAGGTCTGCCTCCCAAGGGTGTGGGGCTGGAAGGCATCCAACAGCAGCAGTTCCCTGCATTGAGGGCCTGGCCAGAGAAGAAGGCTTGCGGTGACCTTGGGGGCCCATTTGGGAGGCATCAGAGTGCCCTCACCACTTTCCTGGCTCACCCCCAGCCCCTGCAGTGGCCTCAGGGTAGCCCCGGGCTCCCTATGCAGCAAGGCTGCCTTTGGAGCCTGGGTACCGCACAGGCCGCGCCAGGCGGTTACTCATTGCCTAATTTGATTCAGGCTGGCTGGATTCTGGTAACTTTTGGGTGACCCTGAGGAGGACAAAGCCGGGAGTCAGCCTTTGTAGAATCCTCACTCTGGGGGCTGGGCAGGAGGGAGCCCTGCCCGCCCCGGGGCCCTCTGTCCAGCTCCGCTCACCCCCCCTCCCCACCCCCCTCCTCCCATCATTCCCCCCCCCCTTCTGCCCACTGAGGATGAGGGGATTTGCCCCCCCCTTGAACTGTGCCCACTTTGGGGGCTGCTTCCAGGTGGGGGTGAACGGGAGAGGGCACCGAAGGTTAGCAAAGTCAGTGGCAGACAAAAGCTGGGGTTACCTGAGGGGGGCCGGGGTGCTGGGGTTTGGAGCTATGTTAACATCTGGCGGGTGCCCTCAAATGTGCCGCAGCGAGTCACTTGATTACACGTATGTTATTTAGTTAAATTTGAGAAAATTATGAGATGCTCACCAACCCGGTGATAAACTCGCTCCCTCGCCATTGGCTGGCCTGGTCACATGGCTGCCCAACTTTATTCAGTTGACAGCAGTAGGAGGGCCCTATGGAAGGAGAAAAAAAGACAACACGAGAAAAATTAGTATTTTCTACCTTCTGAAATTAATGGCCATGAGTTCGTATATGGTGAACTCCAAGTATGTGGACCCCAAGTTCCCTCCGTGCGAGGAGTACTTGCAAGGTGGCTACCTAGGCGAGCAGGGGCCCGACTACTACGGCGGTGGCGCGCAGGGCGCCGACTTCCAGCCCCCAGGGCTCTACCCTCGGCGGGACTTCGGCGAGCAGCCCTTCGGAGGCGGCGGCCCCGGGCCGGGCTCGGCGCTGCCAACGCGGGCTCACGGGCCGGAGGCCAGTGGCCCGGGCGGCCACTACGGCACCCCCGGAGAGCCGTGCCCTGCGCCCCCGGCGCCCCCGCCCGCGCCCCTGCCGCCTGCCCGGGCCTGCAGCCAGCCGGGCGGCCCCAAGCAGCCAGCCCCCGGGACAGCCCTCAAGCAGCCAGCGGTGGTCTACCCCTGGATGAAGAAGGTGCACGTGAATTCGGGTAAGGCGCAGAGCCCCGGTCACCTCGCGGGCCCGACCCTCGGCTCCTTGGGACCGCGGCCTAGGGCCCCCCCCGGGCGGGAGGTGCGAGGGGCCGGGGGCGTGGAGGGCTGCAATGGGCGCCGCAATTACTCTCCCCATAAATTTTTATCGCTCAGGGAACAGGCCGGGACCATGTGGCTGGCTGCTTGGCTGTGGGCGCAAAAGGGGGTGGGGATGGGGGTGGGGTGGGGGAGGACTCCATTTGCAGAGCCCAGGGAACTCGGTGGAGGAGAAGAGGGGGGCTCCAAGATGCTTGGGGACTCGGGAGCTGGTGGTGGGCCCGGGAGCGGGGAGCACAGGAGGGGATCCTGTGGCGCGAGCCTGGGGGCGTGGGTGGGTGGGAGGGAGCGTGTGCGCCCTGGAGGGCGGGCGGCAAAGAGGAAGGAGCTGGAGAGGGCGCGGGCCGCGGGGCGCGCCAGGAAGTGAGCGGCGGTGGCGAGGGGCCTAACTGGTGACCGAGCGCTGACCTGGCTGTGCTTCTGTTTTGTCTCGCAGTGAACCCCAACTACACCGGCGGGGAGCCCAAGCGGTCCCGGACGGCTTACACGCGGCAGCAAGTCCTAGAACTGGAAAAGGAATTCCATTTTAACAGGTATCTGACGCGGCGCCGTCGGATTGAAATCGCGCACACCCTGTGTCTGTCAGAGCGCCAGATCAAGATCTGGTTCCAGAACCGGAGAATGAAGTGGAAAAAGGACCACAAGCTGCCCAACACCAAAGGCAGGTCTTCCTCGTCCTCCTCCTGCTCCTCTTCCGCCGCCTCGGGCCAGCCTTTGCAGCCGCTGGCCAAAGACCATCATACAGACCTGACGACCCTATAGGAGTGGGGACCTTGGGCCCATCCCTCCCTGTGCTCCCGGCGAGCCGAAGCTACTAGGGCAGCTAGGCCTGCTGTCACCTCGCTGGGCTCTAAGGTACTGTGGGGGTGGACCTGGGACCAGCAGGCCGCCCTGCCCTCGGACTAGGTTCGCCTCCTGACCGAGGGCAGCTCCCTCCCTGGAGTGGGGAAAGGGGCTGGGAGGGGAGTGGGATTCTCTTTAAGTTTATTATTATATGGCAGGAGCTACTGAGGACAGAAAACCTTGGCGAGTCATTAAACTCCTGAAAATCTCAGCTGTTGGATTTTGAATTTGCAGATGAAGGTTGGATGCTTTATCCCAGTGTGTATTTTGGCCATTCTCTCCGCTCTGCTCTGCCGCTCCAGGGTGCTTTGTGGTGTAATCATTGGGGGATGGTGGGCCGGCCGGTGGGGAAGGACGTTAAGGCAAAAGGATGGCTGCCTCTGTGCCGGACTCTTTCCATGGAAGTCGCAGAACTGGGGCAGGATGTCTGAATGTCCCTGGTAGTCTGCATAGTCCCAGTGTGACTTAAAAAAAAGATAAAAACCCAAACATTTTGCTTCCAGTTACCCCCTGTCCCAAGAGATAGAGGAAGAAGAGGGTAGAAGCAGATTGTTGTGTTTGGATTGCACTGACTTCAATATTTATTTGTTGAGAGATGGGGTGCGGAAATAAATGACACCTTCATGCCAAAAATTTGAAGAGGGTGAAACAGGCTGTGTCTCAGGGAGCAGAGTCCACCTGAGTGCACTTCCTTCTGAACTCCTCCCCCTCCTCCCGGCCCAGAAAGGCGTGTAGGGGGCCCTTAACCTTTTTGTAGAGAAGCAGAGGATCCACTTAAAGTTGATTTCTCGAAAATATATTTCCATGTGTGCTTTTTTGCCCACACCCAGCTCTGTGCTTACAACCAGTTCTGAGTGATTAAGGGGGGGTGGGGGTGGCGATGGGACAAATGGCCCATCAGTTTCCTTCTGGGATAGGAAAACAAAACTTCTATGCTCTGGGTCCTTAGCTCATGACTGGATTTTCTGTTCCAACTGGATTCCAAATGCCCCACATAACTGCCTTTTATAGGAATTGGTGTATGACCTATGTGAGGAGGGGCTATGCACCAGAGAGAAAGTAGGGAGGTGGAATGCCTTGCTTTAAATAAGAAAGGGGAAAATGAGTCTAGAAGTCAACAAAAGTTGGTCTTGGGCCTTTTCTCCCTCTGAAGTTTTCCTTTTTTCTTTTAAACAAATCAATCCCCCCACCCCACCCAAACTATTAATTAGAAACAGCAATTGGAAAAAGCTTAAAAGTTTTCAGGTCCTCTTCCTGGCTTTTAAGAAGAGTGGTTTAAAAACAACCACTCTCCAAATTACTTTCCCAACCATATTTCTGACGCCTTGCCTGAGAAGGGTTCAGAACTCAGTGTTTGAAAATGCTGACCCTTCTGGATAAGGAGAAAAGAGCTCATCTACTCAAATGAAATCAGGCTTTGAAAGTTGAAACCCCAAAGCCTTGGGCTTCAAAAAAGAGACCCCTGGTTATAGCTGCTACAAAGTGACAGGCCAGAGAAGACAAGAGCTGAGCTTGAAAAAGAGCTACAGACTGGAGTCTTTTATTGTTTTATCAATGCTTCAGAACATTTTGGGAGGTTTTGGTGATACTTTCAAAATATATCTAAAGAATGGGGGCAGGGAGCTCTCCCTGCAGGCCTGTTCCTTGGTTTGGGGTCTCCTGAGAGCTGTGAGCAGGTATTCACTGGCGTCCCTAAGCTGGAATTCTCGGCGTCTCTAAAGTGTCTTCCAAGCCCAGTCTTTTGTATTAGACCCTGGGGACAGCTCTTTGTTTCTCCTTGGGGTGAGCCTGGCTCTCAGACTTGCACATGGCAATCCTTGAATATCGCCACGTCGGGATATTAAAGATGGATATTCCTGCATTATTCCCATCATTGTTTCTATGACAAAAAGCACAGAGTTCATACATAGTCAAGACGTCTTTTTTCTGACGCCCTCACGTTGAGAAGCTGAAAAGGTATTTTACTGAAGTTCGGCTAAATTACAGAATCAGGTTCACCCAGAGGACAAATTTTCTATTCGATTAGCTGTATTTCAGCCGGGAGGACTGACCTCTAAACCCTTAACCTTTTGGACTCTGACTACCCTTCTCTTCTTTTTCCCCCTCTCACTGGAGAGAGCTGTCTTTGGAGGTACCATTTGAAAGGAGCTGCTCTCCATAGGCAAGTTGCAGAGTTGCTAAGATCCTCTCTTCCTAAAACACTCATCTGTGAATACATTGAAGCATCTCCTAGAAGGGGAGGGGACAGTCTTTATTTTCACAACATCCAACTGCATGTCTATAATAGAGATGATTGTATAGATTCCTCCTCTCCCCATAAATTCCGGTTACTCATCCCAGCTTCAGTCCAAATACCATAACTGCTGAACTACCTTCCCTCCTGCCCCAAAGGAAAGCCAACAGGCCTGTTTTCATGAGGAAGAAGGAAAAAAAAAAAGCCAAGCTTCTCAAACATAGCCCCTCTACTTTTGGAAAGGAACTTCATCCCAGAAACAGCTTCTTTGTTTTTAAGTCCCAGCTCCCCTCCTCAGCTTTCAAGGATCTTCTTTTGAAATGTTAATGGAGCATGGAGGGCAGCCCCAATCTTGAGGTCCCACTAGGACCCCAGCAACCATCCATTTGGGCCCAGAGGCTTGAGGCAGGGGAGGGGCAAGGTGCCCACCCTCACCCCCACCCCCACCAGGTCTGGAAGGAACTGAGTTTCCATCTGGGAGCTCACTGCTCTGGAGAAAGCTAGATGTGGAGAGGAAAGGTTTCACTGCCCATTTGCTATGATTTGTTTCCAGTTTGTTCTCCCAAATATGAGCCAGAAGTGTTTTGTTTTGTTGTGTTTATTTTCATTTTTAAAGTTTATCTTGGGGAGGGGATTGGCTGGGGGAGGTAGTGAGGGAGTGAAGTGCTTGCCCCTCAGACCCCCACCCCACTTTGTCCATTGCAGCCTTTTGTTGTGAGATGACATTGCAGTCAGCCTCATGGTGTCTGTTCACAGAGGTACTTTTTCTAATAAAATTGACTAATGTTTTGCTGCCACTGATTAAAGTATTATTTATACTGATTGTTGCCTGTAGTTTTGATGTAATACACCGATCTATATTTGAAATAATAAAAAGTGTAGCGAAACCTCCCTCCCCTGCTTGGTGCCTCAGTAGTCTTCTCCAGCTGACATTCAAGAGCGACAAATTAGTTTCTGATTTTCTGCAATGTGCCTTAACGTGTGAATGTTAAGCTTTGCAAGGCTTAGTAATTCTTATCCTTACCTCTCAACTGCTTCCCCTTCCCCCACCCAGGCCAAGCCATCAGAGCTTGTAAGCACTGAGAACCCTAAGTTGGACTCCGGCTCTGGGGAGTGAGCATTGTTTTCTGAAAGGATAGGAAGTCCCTGGCCTGACAAGAGGGAGACTCTACTTGGTCCCAGGCCTCCATCCAAGCAGACGTGGAGCCATCAAAGAGGAGCTTTTTATGAAGTGCTGGGCTACAGACCCTCAGGCCTCCCTTGAGTGGTAGGTGCTGGGTCTGGACTGGCTCTGGGGGCCGGTAGCTACTCTGACTTGACCTCCGGGCCTCCAATCTTAGGACTCCTTCTGAGTCCCCAGCACCTGTCCCTCCAACCACCGCCATGTCCCACCACACCTGGTCCCCTGCACACCTCAGAAAACGACCAACATGTCCCGCTCTAAAACAGTGACCCCTGCACTCTCCCCCCACCCCACCCCCACCCCCAGAGCTTTTTAACACATGGACTTGTCTCACCATGTAGAGGAGCCAAGACAGGAGTTCTGAAAGAAATGGGGTGGGGGCAGGGGAGGGTGTTCCATCTTGACAGGAAATGAGCAGAATGCATAAAATCAGACATGTGTCCTTAATATATGGGAGGGCTTGTCCCAGACGCGTGGACATGTGTATTTATAAGTGCGCAGCCCGAAGCTGAAATATTCAGACACATTTTATGATTGTCCTCTGCCCGTCTTCTGGCTAATGGCTCCTCCTGTGCCCACCGATACATCAATCCCGCCGTGTGTGTTGAATCCCGGGAGGAGGAGGAAGCGCAGCAACGGCCACGGAGCCCGCCCAAGTCCAGTCCAGTGACCGAGACCCTCGGCAGACGGCGCTGCCGCCATGTTGGGGACCCCTCCCTGCCCCCCGCGCCGGGCTGGGCCGCTGGGGCTCGCCGGTCGCCGAGAGAGGGCCTTTCATAACTGGGCGAATTTTCAAAGTGCGAGGAAGATGATAAGAATAGATTTCTTCAAGTCCCGACCACGTGATTGGCGAAATAATTAATTCAGCACGTCCCTTAAGAAACACGGAGTCGTCATTAATCTGCCACGCAAAGGGCTCTCTCCGACTCGGAAAGTGCAGGGATCCCAGGAATATCACCCGCCCAGGGGGCCGCGCCGCGCCCTGCCACTCGGCCGGGCAGTGGGCTTCGGGAGCGCGCGGCCGCCAGGTAAATATTTTGGCGACTTTTATTTCTGCAGATTTAAATCCTTAATGAACTTAGCTGTCAGGGCCGCTGATAAATCGGTCCCTTTGCTTCCTGATTTGGAACCGTGCGCCGGCGAGAAGTTGTTAGTGGCTTGGATGGTGACCTTTGGGTTCAGCACAGCTTTGCACTTATGAAAAATTACCGAGAGCGGTCGAGCGTGTGTGTGCGCGCGCATGAGTGTGTGTGTGCACGCGCGCGCGCGCGCGCGAGGGTGCAAGGGGTGAGGGGCGAGGGTGCACGCGGGCAGCTCAGAGACAACAGTTGTAAAAAAAAAAAACCGCTGGGCTGGGGACGCGCCTGGCGCACGCGGGCCGAGGTTGCCCGGTCGCCTGTGTCTACCGGGAACAATGGTTGCTGTCAGGGCATCTGCTGCCTATTCTTAAACCGGTGAGAAAAGGCCCCGGCCCCCTTTTTAAGCGAGGGTCGTAAATTTCTCTTTGCGTCATAATAGAAGGCTATAAAATCGAGTTGAAATTTTACCCCAGGCAGGTTTTAACCAAGGGCTAATGATTTCTGAGTGGCTTCTCCATCTCGCCTGACCTCCCTACCCAGGCTCTCTGACTTCTGCCTCTCCAGCAAGGTGGTTGCCCATCTCCTTCTCCACTTTTTTCTTTCTTTCTTCGTTTTCTTCTTCTTCTTTTTTTTTTAGGAAATAAAGGCAGGGGGAGAAGTCCCTGCCGCCCAAGCGGAGGAGGGGACACCTCTGGGAAGGGGTGTGGGGGAGGCCAGCACCAGTTGCAAAGGCTGCCCCTCTTACTGGCTCCCATCTCCTCCTTTTCTTCCTCCCTCTGAGAAGATTCCGTGCCCCCCCCGCAACTCGGCTGGACGAGCCCCTGGGCTGGGGCAGCGCGTCTCCCTTTGGCTCGCAGCCGGGGTCTGCGGGTGCTGCTGACTTCTCAGCCTTCGCCGCAGCCTCTGGCGTGGAGGCTGGTTTGGGCGAGCCGGGGCTACCGGCGTGCAGCGGAGGTTCAGGGATTGTATGCGTGTGCTTGGGTTTCTTTTTTGGTGTGTATATATTTCCCCCATCAGGACGGAGACAAAGTTTCCTCCCTTATGAATTATACATTCAAACAATAACACATTAATTCAATTATTCAAAGATGACAAATGTTTATGTGCTTTGCGAGTGACTCCGGAGCAGATTCCGGGCGCTTTCTGGGAGCTGCTGGCTTTTTGGTTTTGTTTTGTTTCTCAATGAGAATTGACTTCCCTCTCACCCACCTCCCACCGCCACCTACTCCAACCCACCCTGACTTCCCCTCTTAGGCCCAGAGAGGAAGCCAAAAGCTTCCCCAGCCCTGCCTGCAGTCCAGCAGCCAGCAGCCTCCCCAGGCCCGGGCTTGGCGGGCACCGGCCCGGGCTATTTTATCAGTGTGACAATTGCCCGGGTTGGTGTGATAAATCATCGTAAGTAATTCCTGAAAGGGTGCGAGGCTGTTGGGGGCCGGGCGAGGACTGTAAATCTTTCCGGTTTATTGCTCTATGAACATATGCTCCGATTGAAGAAGTCTTAGATCCTTTCCTGGAGACAAATTCCCCGCAAAGAGGCCCCCCTCTTTGGCTGGGGATTAACACTTGCTGCAGCCCCCCCTCCCCCTCCCTCTGGCCCCTAGCAGGAGGCTGAGGGTGGGAAGGGGTCCACTGGGTGGAGGGTGGTCTGGGGACACCCACCAATGCCAGGTTCAGAGAAACACGTAAAGTGGGCTCAGGCCAGGCCCAGCCAGGTGAACAAAAGGAGTAGCTCTGGCTGGCTGTCAGGACTGAGCCTGGCGCCTTCGACCCATCCTCTGGAACCTCCTTCTGAAGTCGGGGTGCAGGGAATACTCCCCACTTCCTCCTGCTCGTCTGTGGCTGCTGGGCACTCTCGCACACCCAGACTGGGCCAGCGGCTGCCGGGACTGGGCTCCACGCCGGATGTCGTTGAGAAATACCGCTGACCATGAAAGGGAGCCTCCTCGGGGAATGGGGTTCAGATCCCCACGTGGTGCGGGATTCCGGGGTGCGGGTCTGGCTGGGGTGAAGGATGAGGAACTCTCTTCAAACCTGAAGCGGGCTCTTCGTTTGCGTTCTTCGTCCCACAAGCCGAAAGCTTATGGTAAATCCCAGCCCTCCTCCCCCCTGCAAGAGGGCTGGGACCCAGTTTCAACTGAGCTTTGGTAAAACAGCAGTCCCTGGGCCGCCAGTTAAGCCGGGCCTGGCGGATGCCGCAGCCTCCTCGCCTTCCAGCAGGCGCAGCAAGACGCGGGAGACCGCGGCCGAGCCACAGAGCCTGCGGGTTCCCCAGACCTTGGCCAGAGCCGGAGGCGCGCGGGGCGCCAAAGCCGGGTCTGCTCAGCTTCCCAGCCGGCTCCTCAGCCGGCACTCCCCTTGGCTCTCCGAAGCGCTCTCTGGGCTGCTGTTTTTGCTGCGAGAGCTTAGGTCTGGAGCAGAGGTGGCCGTACTGGTGGCGTTCCCCGGGACTCAGTGGGGCCTGAGTCCGAGCCAGGCCACAACGGAACTGCCTCTTCCCTTCCGGAGATGAGGGCGCCTACCTCGAAGGGAGGATGCGGGGTGCCTGAGAGGCGGCGACCCAGGCGCGGGGAGAACCCTGTTCCCTGCTGCTTCACAGCCGCACCCAGAAGCGCCTCTGAGAGAGCCCACTTCTAAAGTTTCCCACCCCCGGTCTGTCTGCAGGATGGCCAGGCCAGGGCAGGGGTCACGCGGGCAGAGACGTTCAGCACCCCAAGGTCACAGCTGGCCACCAGACTGGGGCTGGGTGAGTCCCCAGAGGTTCTTACTGGGGTTTAGCTGCTGCCCCACACACCCACCCTAGTCTGTTGGAGTGAAGGGCCCGGGCTTCCTGCACCCTCGAACCCCTCCTCCCAGCCCCCAGGCCTGACTGCGCTCTGGGGCTGGATGGCGTGAAAGTTTCAGCCTCAATCAGTACAAGCTTCCCTCGGGGTCACGTGAACAAATATGCTCGCAATTGAAGCTGTGTTTCCCGACTTGAGGGGGTTTCCGGGGCTCTCTCCAAATCTAGAAAGGAGCACGTTCTGAAAGCAAAACAAACCCCGAGCTCTGGGGGGGCCGAGGAGGGCTGGGCTGGAACCCAGGAGCGGGTGGGGGCGAGGGTGGCCGACGCTCTGGGCATGGGAGAGGACAGACAGACCGGCGGGTGGCAGGCCGGACGCCCAGCGCAGGAGAAGCTAGCTCGGGGACTGTGAACTGGTTTCTCCGGCGTTTATTGGTAGTTGAACCTCAGCCTGGTTCCGTTCTACCGGGAATTCCATGTGCTCCGGTATATGGCCGCGTCTGCGAGCGCGAGACCAGGGTTGGGACAGTGTTGACTGCAGACAAAGGGGGAAGGCTAGCGCTGCCCCCCACTGGCGCCCACTCTGAGGCCAAGGACACCAGGTTTATGATAAATTGGGATCCAGGTAAGCAATTGCATGACAAAACGAAAATCTTTGGGCGTGGGGCTGCTTGCCGCCCTGAGCGGGATACTAAATATGATTTATTTTGTGTAATCTGTGATCTTGATTATTGCCAATTGGTGAGGCAGCCTGCGTAGACCTAGATGCACTTCTACATATACATGGAGGACGGTGATTAATCTTAACGAGGTGCGCTTTGTGGGACCGCTCCCCTCCTACCCAAAGGTTAGGAGGACACACTACCTTCCCAGGCTTGGAGGGTGGGTGGCCGGGAGGCTTGGGGGGAGGTGGGGAGTGGCGTCCAGTGAGAAAGTTGGGGGCTGGAGGAAGTATTTTAGGGGTCAATATGCAGTTAGGAGAATAGGTTGAAAAATGAAATGAAATGAATAAAAAGAAACTTTTTTTTACCACTGTCACCGCTAAAGTAAGATGGAACGTCATATTAATTCCGTGTCTTTGGGCTGCAGGGCTGGGCTTGGGCAGGTTGATTTATATGTATTTAAAATAAACTCGGTGGCCAGCCAGCTCCCTGCATTGTTCTGGGAGCAAGCTCCCAACATGCATGCCTTTACCTCTTGCCATTGGCTTAATCTTTTTTCCTGGGAGGTGGATATCCTACTGAAGCTTCCCCCCCAAATTCAAGAGAATCCCCAAACTGTCCAGAAGTGTCAGGGAAGCTCCTTTACACACTTGCTCAGCTTTGAGCCTAGGATTTGGGCTGCCAAAGCGGCAGAGAAAAGGTTTGGTGTTCCTGGGTCCTACTCTCCAAGAACGTAGAGTTAAAAGGGAAATCATATTTCAGTTTGGGAATCCCACCCATACTTTTGTTTACTTGCTTCTGGCTGGGATGGAAAGGACAGTCCAGCCCAGGTCTTTCCCAGGCTCAGACTGGGGGAGCCCGCAACCCAGGGCTCCAGACTTATGGGACCACCACAGGGCCAAGCCAGACTGGGCCTCCTTGGATCCCAAGGAGCACTACTAGCTTAGGGGCGACTGGGTAGGGTCCTGGAAGACAGCGTTGGACTTCCAGGCGCATCTTCATCAAAGGGGAACAGTATAGTTGTTTTGTCAATTGCCTGAGCCTGGCTCCCTCAGAACTTAGAGTCGCTGGACATTTTTCTTAGCTGGCTGCCTTGTAGCTGCGAGCCTGCCAACTTAGTCAGCTGAATCCAATTACAGCGAGCAGCATTTCATTTGCCCCCACGGAGCACTCACTTATAACTTCCCCTAAAATTTCAATAATCCCCATCTCGGTGACATACTGGCCTCATCCTAGAGTTTCTTGGGGTGCTGGTGGGGGATGGAGGTGGCGGGCTGTGACTGCCTGGGACCAGCTCTTCCTTGAAGGCAACTTCCTTGACTGTTCTTCTTTCCACTCCCCTACTTTCTGGCTGAGAAAAGGGTACTTGAGCTGGTGGCCTGGAGCCAGAGAGGCTAAGCCTGCGATTCCCGGAGAACCCGGAGGCTGACTGTTGGGCGGGTGCTGTACAGTGGGTGGGCAAAGGCAGGGGTAGTGGGAGAGGAGGTAGGTTCTGGGTTGGCTAACTTTGGCCAACTTGGGGGCCTCTTTCCCTTCCCCTATCCAAGCACAGCTCACCCTTGATCGCCTAGGCTCAAACTTACCCTGTTCTCCGTGGCTGGGAAAACAAATTTTAGTTACAGGCACCGGTGGTGTGTGTGTGTGGTGGGAGAGGGGGGCTGGGGTCTTGGGTGGCCTTCCTGTGGAGTTTTTCTGAAGAGGCCCTCCTATTTCTAAAGAACACGGTTTTCAAATAAATAAATAAATAAATAAATAATCAAACGGCGAAAGTTGACGTTCGCCCACGTGAATGTATTATATAAAAAGGCTTATGGCCCGCCAGCCAGAGATCCCGGGTACCTCCAGCCCCCGCCGCGCCGCCCTCGGGGCCCCGCCCAACCGAGCGGGCTGGGGGGCGGCAGGCGAGCCGCGTGGCTGCCCCGGCCTGCCCGGGCCGCCGGCCAGGCAGGGCAGCGAAGGCCGGGGCGTGAAGTTAGGAGCTTAACCGGGCCGGGATCTCTCCAAGGCGCTTCCGTTGGGTGTTCATTAAGGGGTGAGTTATTGCCGCGTGAGCCAAAGGTCACTTCAAAGGCTTATGGCTTCGCCCTGTGGTCTTGCAAAGGGCCAGGACGCTCGGTGTGGGGCTTTCCCCGGCGCGGTTTAGGGTTTGCCAACTACGGAGTCGACAAATTGTTCCGGGCAGACGTGAGAGGACTGCGCCTGTTTCCTTTCACCTGGCGGGGACAGGCTGGGCGTCGGTCTGTGCTTGGGGTGGCGGTGGAAGGGGACCGTGTGTTTCTGAGGACGCTTGCAGGAGGACCCAAGCCGAGGCGCGGGCCAGCTGGGTCAGGAGTGCAGTGGCTGCTGGTTGGCATTCAAGGCCACCCTAGGAGCCCGCAAGGAGATGCCATGCACCAGCCAGGCGACAGCGCTCAGCTCCCTTTGCATGAGGGCTCTGGGCATCAGCCCGACCCGCACTCACCCTGCCCCCGACCCACTCACGTGTCCACTTTCCGTTTCGGGTGGCCCTAACTGTCGCCCCCTCCCCACTGCCTTTGAGGTTTATCTCAGGGTTTGGGGCACCCGGTTGAGTTTGGCGGGAGCAGGAGGAGTCGGGGCTGAGACCGCCTCCTTGGGGGTCGCGCGCTTCCTTCCGAACCGGACTTCCCGTTACCGATCCAGCCCAGGATTTAGGGGTTCAGGCCCCCTACTCCCCCACCACCACCACAGGGAGGCTTCTTTCTGCCCACCGCCTGCCGGGCTGAAGGCCTGGAGTGTCCACGGGTGGCCTTCTCCTCTACAATAGTCACATTGACTATGATGACACTCCTGAAGGGGGAAAAACCTCTAGACGTGTAAGTATGTGTGAGAAAGAACCGACTGCCACTGAGAATTTTCCATTTCCTTCCAGATTCGCCTCCACAGAGTATTAACAGAACTTCGAAGAGCCTTCAAAAAGAGTTAGTGAGACAAAATTCAAGGAGAAAAAAAAATCACACACATAATTGTGGTGAGTGGGTGTGTTATTAAAAAAATGTTTCCACTGCATTTCCACATCTCCATCTGTCCTGCAACTCAAGGTAGCCAACCTCAGGATTCATACATCAAGACATAAAACAAAGGCCGCCTTTGAAGTGGATCGCCCCGGAGCGAACTAACTGCCGCCCGTTACATGCTAACCGATCATCGGGCCTTCAAATTTATGGCGCTTGAATGGAGGAGGAGTGGGGTGGGGGAGCCCAGTGCCTTAAATGCAGGGTGTATTATGGTACGGAGTTATCTGGGCTAAACTAGGGTGAGTTCAAAGGCGCGTCCAGGGCTTCCCAGGGAGCTGAAGAGGTGCAGGCGGCCGAGAACCGCGAGCGCGTGGCCGGGAAGCATTCGCAGTAAATACATTCCTTTCCCAGCAAACCGGCAGAGGAGGGATGTTGAGGTCCGGAGGTAGCAATGCAAAGCAGGGAGAGAAAGCCGGCTTCGCGGTTCCGGAGAGGGAGCGAGGAGGCCCGGGCCCGAGTGGTGTCCGCTGGCACGAGATGCGCGTTGCCGAGAGACCCCGGCCGAATCCAGGAGAGGCGCCGCGAGCAACCTAGTGACACAGTAGCACCAGCACGCCTACGCCTCCCTCTTCGCGCTCAACTCACACTTCGGGCTATCTGTCGGACATTTACATCGGCGGCGGGCTATGGCGGTGCTAGTCACGGACCGGCGACTGTCGCTCCCGCCCTCCTCCAGCCCCTGCGGTTGTTGAGCGGCCGGCCGGCAGGCCTCCGGGCGTCCCGAGGCCGCGGCGGGCAGGCGGTCCTGCGAGCGACCGCCGCGCAGAGCTGCTGGCTGGGCCGGCCCGCGGCCACTTTATATAGGCCGGCGGCTGGCGGGCGCGGCGCCGGGAAAAGTGCCGAGCCGAGCATTCTTTTCCTGCGCGTCCTCCTACGCGGAGCCTAGTCTCCACTTCTGAAAAGTGCCGGGCCTTGGGAAGTGTTTTTCTTTTCATTCCTTACTGAAGCGTTTACTGCTGCCGAGCTGGCAGTCATAAATTTTGTTACAAACCACAATGACAGGTGCATTGATATGCACCGCGAGAGCTCCAGCTGCTTAATAACCTCGTCCCCTGGCCGCTGTGAGAGCCTTTTATTTATTCGGTATCATATTAGGTATTGATCCCGGGCAGAATTAAGTGCAATGAGCGAGTATCAGGGCTTGGCTGCTTCGGAGGCGCTGCGGGCCGGCACGATCCGGGCATCGGGCGGTGGTCGCTCCCAGGTCGCCTGCCTGCCTCCAGGCTGGGCTCGTTGGACCCTGCGGGTTAGGCTTCTAGGCTGAGTGGGGCAACTTTCCCAGGACCATAAGAAAGAATGAGCCCGACCCCGGAGGGGCGCCCCTGCCCCAGGCGGGGTCAGGGATGATGCTGGTGGGTTTCTGGTGAAGCTGCCCTGAGGGTAGAAGGGTGTCAGTGGAAGGAAAAGGCAGCTGAGAACATGGAAAGAGAATCCCGATCCGACCGCCCCCTCCCCCTGCACTGGCTGTCTTCACCCCAAGGCATTGGGGATCCCAAGACCCAAAGAGCAAAGGTAGTTAAAAGCAAAAAAAAAGAAAGAATGAATGAAAAAAAAGCGAAGCCTTTTTAAAAAAGGGGGTGATGGAAAAGATGAGCCACTGAACAGTTGACCATTGTCCAAAGTGATTTATGACCCATTCCTGCTCTTTAGGTTCAAGCAGAGTTCACAAGGAGTAGAGATTTCTGGAAAGAAATAAGTCTCTTTCCCAGATTCGCAACAATCTCCTCAGGTTTTGTTTTAGGAGAGGTGACTTCTTTGGGCTGCTGGATTTTTTTTCTGGAGGCTCGCACTTCTGAGAGCATTCTGGCTCTTGCTTCTGGAAAAATAGACGTTTAGGTGGTGGATTATGGTTGGGTTGGCCTGGAAATTCCTTAGGACAATGAAAACAGAGGCAGGAGGACTGCTTGTGGTTATTCAGGAAGCTGCCTAGTAGTTGAGCTCTGGGCGCCCGCCCGAGGTTTTTCTAGGCACATGCCTTAAGAAGAAATGTGTATGCAAAACCATCTGCTCCAAAGACCTGGTCATTTCCTAAAGAAGCAATTTTAAGGGGCCTGGTCCACCTATCAAGATAAACTTGGCCAACCTGGAGGAAGGGGGAGGCAGGAGGGGGGTATTTTGTTTTCATAGTTGTGCATGGAACAACTGAGGAAGCAGCAGTCTGTGTTCTGTTCTGGTGGTTGGAATGTCAAATGAGACCATTTAAACATCCACAAGTCCAAGGCTTAAGACTAGAAGCAGAATCCCAGAAAAGCCCTGCCACTCAACCAAACCCAGTCTGCCTGGTCCTTTGGCCTAGGGGCAAATACATAGAAGGCTCAATCACAGAATGGGATTTAGCTGTTCATTTAAAATTCAGCGCCTTTAGTATTCAGAGAATAATAGAGAAACAGAATGGAATGCAGCATTATGTCCAGTTTTAGGTAGACGGTCTAACTCCACACATTTAGAAACAACAACACAGACAATTCTTAAACCAGAATGCCCTAACATCCCATTATCCCCTTGCAGAGGGCCTGTCTCTCATCAAGGTAAATGGCATATTCACTTATATTCTAGAACAAAATGGACAAAGCTACCAAACAAAGGTTACTTTGCAAACATTTGAAAATATTTTTGTTGGTGGAGCTCTTTGGTGAATGAGGGAAGGAAATGAATGAATGGAGAAGTGAGTTTGGTAGGAGTGGTCGAATTCATTTGGCCACATAAACTCTCTAGATAACATGGAAGCATTATGGTAGTCGGAAAGGTTTTTCTGGGAAGGAAAGTTGCCTGAAGGATGAGATCAAGATTTGAGACTAGAGAGCTGACCTATGAGTTTTCTTTATAAAACAGATAAAAGTGGTTGAATGGCATTGGTTATACTTTAACTTCTTAGAAACTTTTCAGGAGAAAAGGGAGGGGAGGTGGTGAGAAGAGAAAACCTCATCGGGAATCAGAGGACACAAAAGAGGTAGACTTTTTCTTCGTTTCGTTGTTGTCCTTCAAAGTCTGGGCCCATTCATCATCCCATTATTTCTCTTTGGTTATGGTTGATGGAGGAGGAGCAGAATAGATGATCCTGAGAAGAGGTCAATAATAACATCTACCTATACAGTAGATACAGGGTGAAAATAATGTTCCAAAATTAAAGCAGTATTCACTCATGTTCAAACTATGCATTTCTTTACCCATCTCTACTGGTATCCACTTCAAAGTTGTGTGTTTGTTTGTTTTTAAAATAAGCTTAAGTTTCTAGAAAAATGTGGGTGAAAGAAAAAACACTTTATATCCTCAAAAGAAGTCTGGGATCTGCTTTTGAAGTCCTCTTCTTGGTTTTCATGTTCTAGTTTTGGACACTGCACATCCCACAGAGCTGAACTGGGCTGCTTCTCATGTTTTTACCAGCAAGTGGACAATCGGAGTTTCCATGAAAGATACTGTGATTTTGATATCAGGTGGGAAATATACTTTTCCCCCCCCCTCTATGTAGGAACTTTAGCTGTTCTAAAGGTGTTACAGGACTGTCTTTTGTTCACTCAAAACCCTAGAATGACTCAATGATTGAAGAATCGATCTTCATTGATTGATTGATTCATTCATTCATTCATTCAATAAGCATGTCTTGCACATATTACATGCAAACACTGGACTGGGTGTGAGAAATACACAGGCCCTGCTTACAAGAAGCTCACAGTCCAGTGGGGGAGTCAGCCATTAAGACTTATGACTACATAAGGTTTTTCTATGCAGGTTCCAAGACTAAAATTGACAACTCAGGGCAAGAAATTGTATCCTAGGAAGAACAAAAACCAATCAGACAAAACTCTTCCTTAGGCTGGAGCTGAGCTATGGAGAAGACTCCTCTCCTATTTCGTTAAGGTTCTGAGGGTTCAAGTAAGTTGAACTTCACTAAATCATACAGCCTCCCCCCTACACACACACTGAAGTGAGTGGGTAGCAGAGACCATAGGGCTTGTCTCCTGTCTTTCTATATTGACTGGTCTTGCCAATGACAGTCCCTCTGGGGCCTCTCACTTTTCTTCTTGGCAGGTCACCTGGGGCCTGGGGCTGGCCCAGCTTCTCTCTCAAGATAAGCTAGCCATTGACGGTGGTGGTGAAGGAGACTTGTGGCAGTCAATGTTATTTGAGCAGGGTCAGCAGGCCCCGGAGCTTCCTGAGTGCACGATGCAGAAGGCTGCTTACTATGAGAACCCAGGACTCTTCGGAGGCTATGGCTACAGCAAAGCTGCAGACACTTATGGCTACGGTGCACCACATCAGCCCTACCCACCTCCTGCCAACTCCCTGGACACCGATTACCCGGGTTCAGCCTGCTCCATCCAGAACTCTGCACCTCTTCGAGCCCCAGCCCACAAGGGCACTGAACTCAATGGCAGCTGCATGCGACCTGGCACAGGGAACGGCCAGGGTGGGGGTGGTGGCAGCCAACCTCCTGGTCTGAACTCAGAGCAGCAGTCATCTCAACCCCCTCCTCCACCACCGACCCTGCCCCCATCCTCACCCTCCAATCCTGGAGGTGGGGTGCCTGCCAAGAAGACCAAGGGTGGGCCCAATGCTTCTGGATCCTCCGCTACCATCGGCAAGCAGATCTTTCCTTGGATGAAAGAGTCCCGACAAAACTCTAAGCAGAAGAACAGCTGTACCGCTGCAGGTAGCTCTGGGAGGCGGCTCACTCTTAGGCCACTAGTCAAAATCCCCTCCAGACTGACTCCGGGAAGCTCAGTGACCTTGGAAACAAGACACCCAGGGCTGGAAGTGAAACCTTGGAGGCCATATTGCCTGAGCTCCCATTCATGGAGAATTGTGCTTCCTTCATGTCCCTGATGAGGGTCATATCCTTACAGTGACAGGGTGCTCACTTCCATTCCAGGCAGCTAGTGCAATTGCTAGACAAGTCTCATCGTTATTAATAGAGAGCTTTTCCTTAGACTGACCCAATATCTGTCTTATGAGGCAGCTGGTTATAACTCAGCTTCCCTTTTCCATCCAAGAACCCGTCAAAATGTGAACACAGGATCTAGGCTTCCCCGACTGAAGTGGTCATGAGGCCCCTGTCACATGAATTCCACGCTCTTAAATGACAGAACTGAAGTCTATTGAGTGCTGCCTGTGTTAGGGGCCATTCTAGGTGATGTAAATGTCCAAACCACCTTTCGAGGTAGGCACATAATAACACCCCTGTTTTACAGCTACAGAAATGGAGTGTTAGGGAAGATAGTGGGAGATTTGAACCCAGGGCTCCCCCAAGTCCAATTCTTCCTGCTCCATCGTGGGGGGGAAGAGGGGGAGGCAAGCCCTAGGGCAAGGCGATGTGCTCAGAAACTGGAGCAGCCACGGGTGGAGAGACCCCAGACTTCAGAGTGTCTGCCACAGGGTCCACTCAGGATGTGTGGAAAAGAAGTCAGGGTGAGAGCTCTGAGGTCTGCTCACTCACCCTGGCCAGCCCGCTTGGTTCCTGGACTTTTCTGGAGGCCTTGTGTGTTCTCTGATACAATTTATTGCTGGGTAGATGAACCTGTTCCCAGGTCTAGGCCTAGTTTGAGGTCTGGGATGTGGCTTCTTATCAGTTTTCTGCTTTGTCCCTTGCTCTGGGGTGGGGTGGGGGTGGTTGCCTAGGCGGAGAGGGCCTGCCAGCTTGCAAGCTCCTTCTCCAGCCCCTCCCTCCTCAGCAGCAGGCCCAGGCCCTCCCTCCCAGAAGAAATCCATTTGTCTTCCCAGGGAGGGAGTGGACAAGCCGCTAAGAGGTGGCAGGGTGGTGGAAGCCAGAGTTGGGGCTGCCACTGCTCCTAGTACTGCAGTCCTCACCATGCTGGCAGCCTGGCCCTGGGTGCCCTACAACTCCAGGGTGGAATCTTCATTATTTACCACCTCCCTGCCTTTGAGGACCGAGTCCTTGGGTGCAGCAGGACCAGAGGGGAGTGTCATGATCCCCACCCCCTTCTTCACCAGGTTGGGGTTGCCTGGCTCCCAGCAGCAGAGCAGCTGGCAGGGCAGGTCCAGTAGCTCTGGGTGAGATGCACCTGGCCTCTCACTAGAGCCCTCCATGGCCTTCCGGTCAGGATGGTGGGCTAGGCTGGAGGGAGGGGATGGACTGAGGGACCTCACAGAAGGCAGAAGTGAGTTTCAGGTGCGTCTCATAGGTAGGCCTGAAAGAATACAGTTCCCTTTGGAATTTCCCTCTCCAGAGCCCCTCCCCAACCCAAGCCAGGGCGGAGGCGAGGGTGTGTGTGTGTGTGTGTGTGTGTGTGTGTAAGGGTGGAGGAGGAGGGAGCCTGGGAAGGGCCCCTCTCCTATCCTGAGCATCCCCACTTCTCTGGATCAGCGCTACTGTTTTCTCTTTTCTACCTGCCTGCCCAGGAGAGAGCTGCGAGGACAAGAGCCCCCCGGGCCCGGCGTCCAAGCGGGTGCGCACGGCGTACACCAGCGCACAGCTGGTGGAGCTGGAGAAGGAATTCCACTTCAACCGCTACTTGTGCCGACCCCGCCGGGTGGAGATGGCCAACCTGCTGAACCTCACCGAGCGCCAGATCAAGATCTGGTTCCAGAACCGGCGCATGAAGTACAAGAAGGATCAGAAAGCCAAGGGCATCCTGCACTCACCGGCCGGCCAGTCCCCGGAGCGCAGCCCACCGCTCGGCGGCGCCGCGGGCCACGTGGCCTACTCAGGCCAGCTGCCCCCGGTGCCGGGCCTGGCCTACGACGCGCCCTCGCCGCCAGCCTTCGCCAAGTCGCAGCCCAACATGTACGGCCTGGCCGCCTACACGGCGCCGCTCAGCAGCTGCCTGCCGCAGCAGAAGCGCTACGCGGCGCCCGAGTTCGAGCCCCATCCCATGGCGAGCAACGGCGGCGGCTTCGGCAGCGCCAACCTGCAGGGCAGTCCGGTGTACGTGGGCGGCAACTTCGTCGACTCCATGGCGCCCGCGTCCGGGCCGGTCTTCAACCTCGGCCACCTCTCGCACCCGTCCTCGGCCAGCGTGGACTACAGCTGCGCCGCGCAGATCCCCGGCAACCACCACCACGGACCGTGTGACCCTCATCCCACCTACACAGATCTCTCAGCCCACCACTCGTCTCAGGGACGCCTGTCCGAGGCCCCCAAACTGACGCATCTGTAGCGGCCGCCGCCGGCTGGAACTCGCGGCGCGATTACCTCTCTGGGGGGGTGGGGGTGGCGGGCGGGGCCCGTGGGCGGCTCGGTGACACCCCCCTCCCCCGCTCTGGCCCGGCCGCCGCCTCCAGGGCCTCTCGCCTGCAGCGGCCAAGACGCAGGCGACCGGGCCTCGCCCCTCCAGGCGCGCCCCCCTTTGGGTGGCTCGCCATAAATCAGCCGCAAGAATGCTCCTCGGTAAGCCTGGCAGTACCGGGGACTGCGGACCGGGGGGCTCCGATCTCGAATGGTGCCCCGAAGGTAAGTCTGAGACCTGGCGGCGGCGCACCCTGCAGAGCGGCCGGAGCCTCGGAGAAGCCCCGGCCTGGCCCTCCGTCTAGTTTAGTTTCGGAGACCTTAATTTATATGCTCCTTCCCGTCCCATAAGGAATTGCATCGGACTCAGCGATCTGTATTTATTATTTGAAGCGAGTCATTTCGTTTCCCTGATTATTTATCCTCGTCTTAATGTATTTATGTGTATATTTGTAGAGTTCCTCCAGCCGAGTTTAGGAACGTCATCCCGGGCCGCAGGGGCCACATTTCAGCTCTTCTAGTCCCCTTGGTCTGAACTAGTGGAGAGAGTAGTTTTGAACAGTTGTAACCGTGGCTGGTGTTTGTAGTTGATGTAAAGGAGTAAGACCGCAAATTGTCCTTCGTGGGGAGAAGCAGGCAGCCCCACGGCGTGGCACCACTCCCGTTACTCATTTCTCAACAGCCGCAGTCTCAACCACTCGACACAGCTTATTGATTTCAAATTGTCTGGTACCATTTGAAGAAATATTTAGAATAAAATAATTTCTCAGTCGGAAGTGTATCTGTGTTAATCACACACACTTGCAAGCATACCGCCCTAACTTTATCTTTAGGACCACTCCCCCTAGACAAGGCCCTGACTCTTCACATTAAAAATAAATAAATAAATAAATAAAATAAACATTTGCAATCCAGTGCACAGATTGGGTCTGGGGTTACTTGATGACGTTCCAGCAATTGACATCAACAGAGTGAATCTAAGGAGGCAAAATTAGAGACTGAGCTGGGTGGGACGCTTTGGGTCGGGCTTTCCATAGCAGCTGTGCTGTTTCTATGGCTCTAGTCATAAACCTACTTCTTAAAAAGAAGCCATTTACCTGGGGGAGGTTAGGGCTCACTTTTCTGCTTAGTAAAAAATAAACCTTGAAAGAAAATTGACAATCAAAGAAAAGACACCAGAAAAGACGACCGTCAGAAGAAGCTAAGGTGCAGCAAAGAAACCGGTGGGTCACTTGAAGAAGCACCTGAGCTTTTTCTCAGAGAAACGCTGTCTTAAATCTTTTCCTTTGTAGTGGTTGGTGGTTCATTTCTAAAGGAAAAAAAAGTTCCTCGTTGTTGCCCACGATGTAAAGTAATAAGAGTTTCATTAATGGAACATAAGTATAAACACCTTGTTTACTCCTGTTTCTTTGTACAAAACGGGCAAAAATGTCTTCAAGGATTTATAACCATTTTGTAAATATTAGTGTGGCGTTACCTAGGGGCGGACAACTTAGACTTCCTTGTCTGGCAGGGGCACTTGGAAACGCCTTCGGATAAGGTTCAATCCTTTTGTATCTCAGCAAAGTCGGCCCACGCATCTCTATTGGGATCGACAAATAATGCAACTCCTCCTACATCCCCCCCCCGCCCCCCCCCGTGACAGGAAGTGAAATTCCTATTGTGTGGAAATAATTTAACTCTGAATCTTCTGGTGGAACAGCAATCGTTTCTATTTGGATGTTTGTGTTTCGCTGAATAATGATGGCTCAAAATATTTAGTTTACATGTTCCCTTGTGCTGTTTTAAAAATGGCATGTTAGATTGGGGCGGGTGGGGACTCTCCTTTGGCTAAATTTCACTTTATCTGAGCAGGTTTAAAGTATACATGTTGTAGAAGTGTATCAGCAGAGAATAAATGACTTCAATCGAAGGCCTATTTTACCCACTTCCAAGGCTTAAAATGGTTTTATATGAAATTTGCACCCACTGGCAGGATTTCTTATTGTCTTGTAAGAAATTATTTTTTAAGCTATTAGGGAAATCAAAGAAGAGCTCGCTGCCGTGCGTGCAGGGCTTGCATCCACCGTTCTTAACTGGCTAAATATTAAATAGATGAATTGTCAGGCTGTTTAGATTCAGTCCGGTTTTCCCTCATCTCCTCTTCCCACCATAAATAATAATAAAAATACATAATGCATCATGGCTCCAAGCGTTTTCCAGCGCGGTGTGTTACCGCAGGAGTATCTGCTGAGTCTGCGGGTGTCTGCACGGCCCCAGTGTCATCTGCGGCGTAGGGTTTCATGGATTATACTTTAACCGGTGTCGAGCGGGGCTGACATCAGCTTCCGCTCACTGGGGCTCCCAGCAAGTGCAGGGTTGGCTGCTCCTTCTCCTGACAGCCGCAGGCGTCCCAAGGCACCCTATGGAGCAGGGTGCTAGGGGTTCGCGCGTGCCAAATCTAGGGCTTTCTCTCAACCCTGCAAGGCCCCCAGGCTCGGGAAAATGGCTCGCTTACCCCGCCCCCGCTGGCGCGCACGGGTCACGTGACGGCCACGCTCGGCCGCTCCCGGCGCCAGTCCAGGAGGCCCGTTCCCGCGGCCGCCCGAGGGGCGTGCGGAGGGGGCCGCACAAAGGCGTGCGCTCGAGAGAGCAAGGCCGGTCTGCGGCCCAGCCATTTAAAACTTCATCAATTATAAACAAGCCGTCTGGGCTAGGCTTAGCCATAAATCCCGCTCCTTTTGAGCCTGCAATTAGTGTTGGGAGGCATCGGAGTCTAAACACAACCAGTGCCCTCTGAAGGGCCCAACTGCCCGAGGAAGACCTTCATTTCCCCAGTGCCACCCTCTCCCCACTGCAGCCAGGGTCTGCACACAGCCGCCTCCTCCCTGGCACGGACACTGCTGGGGTCCACACTCGGCTGGGTTCCCTCTGCGAGGGAAGGTCACAATAGCTGCTCCACTGGTGGAGGAGCCTGCCGGCCTCCTCCCTGCTGCGTCTGCAAGCAGCAGAGAAAGAGGAGTGGGGGAGGGGAGCCTGGGCCAGCAATGGCGCTCTGGACACAGGCCTCGCCAGCCCCTTCATTCACCCTCCTCCACCCCCCTTGGGGTTGGCTCTGGGGGTAATGGGTGAGTAAGTGTACCAAACCCTCGAGCGAGCTGCTGGCCCCTGGCCTAGGGGCTTTACAAGAGTAGCATACATAACCTTTGTGTGTGCTGCTTCCCCAAGGGCTTCCAGGCTGGCTGTGAGACCACACAAAGGCCCAAGAGGTTTGCCTCAGGAAGGAAACCATTCTCTGGCTCTGGCAGAGCCCAGCTTTGCTGCCTTCCCAGTAGGGACCACTCTGCAGAGGTAGGGTAGTGGGTGGGGTGGGGGCATGGAGTCTCCAGAGGTCTGGAGAAAGGGGCCAGGGCCCCAGCTCAGATTTGTGGATGTGACTGGCAGTCTTATGGATGAAACTGGTTGTGTTGTCCTGATTATCAAGTGTGAATGAAGGTCTCCCCCCCACCCCCACTCAACCCCCCAGGCAAAGGTGAGATACCTGGAAAAACCCAGTTGCCAGTTTGCAGTTGTAAAGTGGGGGTAGGAGGATAAGAGTGAGGGTGGGAGACGGAAGGAGACTTGGACAGAAAGAGCTCACCACTGCAATCAGAAGCTCAGTCCAGTGACCCAAATGGGCTGGCCAGAGGGAAGGAAGACAGCTGGAGAAAAGGCCTCAAGGGTAGTACTGAGCACACACACACACACACCACACCACCGATCCCACCACACCACCACACCACCCCAAAGGAGGAAGGAAGGGCATTGTTGGGTACCAATTCTGTTCCTGGCTCTCAGACCTCAGTCTCTAGTCCAGGGCCCTGACAGATAAAAATCCACCTCTGATGGACTCATTAAGTTAACCATCCATTTGTACAGGCTTCCAAATGAGAGCAAGGGAGAGAGTAGAGAGCCAGTACTTTCCCCTCGGTGCAGCCAGAAGCCCCGTCCCTATCACAGACACATCAGCCAAACTGGTTTCTGAGGCCCCAGAGGCTGCTAACCTTGCTGAACAAGGTTTTTCGAATTTCTATCTGCAAGGAGTATTAAAAGATAGTGATTACCTATACTCGCAACTTGTTCTTGCTCCCTCCTCCAGCCTGCGTTAGATGTCTGACCCTCGAGTGGAGTGAAGCGCATCTTCTCTCCTATGGCAGGCTCGGTCTGTGGAATTTTTCAACTAGGGAGGGTGAAGAGGGTGTGCATGTGTGTACGTGAATGTGTGAAGTAACAAAGAAGTATAGGCATTCTAGTAAGAAACCTTCCTCTGCTGGACCTGAGTGAGCCAAGAGCTGGTCTACACTTTCAGTCTTCAAGCGTTGTTGGACTTTATCCTGAGAGTCAGCTGAAAGTTCCTTCTGAAGTCATTAATTGATCGATCCCCGTGATAGATCTAGTAGGGTCCTCTTCATCTGGGGGTTCTTTACATGACTGCGGTCCCTCTTTCAGAAACTGTAGGAACAGAAGAATAAGAGTGATAATTTGTGAGTATTAAATTAAAAGGCTGTGAGTTAGAAGGTTCAGGCCTCATTGGCCTGTTCAATTCAGTATTCGACACGGTAACTGCCTGGAGAGGGTGTAATTGGGCTTCTAGGATAAGGTGACCAGACATCCCACTTTTGGTGGGACAGTCCCGATTTTTAACAAACCCCCCCCCCCATCCCACGGCATTTTTAAAAAGTCCCGATTTTTGGAAAGAATGCACAACAAGCTAGGGTATACGGTTTTCGTCTGCCATGTGGCTGTTTCGCCAGGATATGAGTTTTATCAATGGTGTCCCGCTTTACCAGTGTTAAAATCTGGTCACCTTACTCTAGGAGCACTGCCACCCCCCAGCCCCAGCCACTTCAGACGCAGAGCTGAGGCTGGGTTCCCAGCCAAGTCCTTCTTCCTCTGTGGGGGAACTCACTCAGCTCTCTCCCTCAAAAGGCCTGGATGGAGAGAAGAAAAGACACAGAGAGGACTCCTCTCCACGTCTCACCTGGGAGGTGGCTATGGGGGGGAAGACTGACCAGAGAGGTTCATCCCAGATGAAATCCTAGTTCTCATTGTTTCCTTATCCTCTTCCCAAGATACAAGTGACTCTCCTTGGAGTCCAAGGCTAGTGTCAAGTGAATCTACATTCTAAACCCATTCCTAAGCCTTTCACTCATGTTTCACATGTACACCTTGATGATTTGAAAGCCAGAGACAATCCAAAAATCCATTGTCAAGTCAGGTCTAGCCAGAAGCACAAGGAACAAAAGACTTCTCCACATGAAGGCACAGCCCAGCTGGATGATGCCCCTTTGCAGAAACTGAAGCAGATGAAGGGTCCGATCTCCTGGAGAGCTGCAAGGTAGGAGCTAAACCCATTTAGGCTCCTGGTCTTCAGCCCTGTGGCACACTATGGTCCTACAGCTAGTTGGGATCATTTTCTGGAAGAATCGTATTTGGAAAATCACAAAAGAAGTAGTGTTTTAACAACAGTAAGGGCCCAGGACTAAACCCAGCCCAGGAGGACCTGGCCAGCCAGGGGCTTGCTGAAGGTAGGGAGAATGGCATCCCTGATTTACAGGGACACAAAGAAGGCCTTCTGATGACACTGGAACCCTCCTCCTCTGCTCTTCCCCCAAGACCAACTGAGGAAATTAGGGTGGCTGTGCCAAGGCTGCCGTGACTCACTTGTAGTACCCGCCTCCCTCAACCCAATCTCCTGACCCTCCCTAGGAGCAGCCAGGAAGCTCCTATTCCCAGTCTGTCCTCCCCTCACCGCCCCACCCCCACCCCTTCTGCAGGGAATACACACAAAGGAGGCTCCCATCCACCTCCGACCTTGAGATGCTCCGGGCAGAGAGCTGTGTGGACTCCCAGTCTAAATCCTCCCTCGTCCCGTCCCCCATGCCCCACGGGGAACAATAGCCGCCACCTCCCAGAGGCAGCACGCTGCACAAAGGCCCGCTCAGCCCCGGCCACCACGTGACGCAAGCCCGCTCCGCGCCCTCCACTCGGCTCCAGGGCCCAGTCTGCAGAGCGCGGGAGCTGCAGTGTTCCTGAAACGACCCAAAACAGTCTCTGAAAGACAAACGGTGAGTTAATCACCGTACCGGCTGGCTGCTGCGTCCCCTCTCACCGGCGAGGAGGCCTGGGCCGGGGGCCGGGTGGAGGACTTCTCTCGGTGTATGTCTAGGGGAGGGGGGGCGGCTGGCGGGAGAGGTTGGCCCTATTAAGAGTTCATCAATCACCCGGTGTGCACTTTTCGCTCGACAGCGGTTCCTCCTACTTCAGAGTAAGTCTGGGCCAGCTGGGATCCGACCAGAAACCAACCGCACGCAGAAGAGAAGCAGGCGCGCACTTTGCGCGCGCTGAGGATGGCGGGCTCGACCCGCCCGCCCGCCCGCGCCCACCAGGGAGGGCCACGGCCAGACTGTGCTCTGCAGCATGGTGCCCCAGGGACAGGCCGCCAGGCCACCTCCTCATCCTAGTGGCCCACACTGCCAGACGACAGCCAGTCCCGTCCTCGGTCTACTGGGGCTGCCCAGAAACCTCCCAACAGCCCTACACCCACACCAGTGACCCTGCATCTAACCCCCGCCCCCCCAATACGCACACCTCCTGCTCGCCCTGTTGACACCATTAAACATCACCCCACCCTGAGAAGGGTGAAGTCATTGTGAATGCAGGGGCCAGGAAAATCCCAAGGGGCCCAAAGGTCTTGCAGACAGTGTTTGATTTGAGTTTTTCAAAAGATGTCCTGAGGGATTGCTGTTCAGGGGAGCCTTTGAACCAGCTTAGTTTCCATATTTACCTGCAGGAGGTTTTGTGTGGGCAGGATAAGTTGGCTGTTGAACTTGGAAGTGCACTTGAATGCTATTTAAAATAAAAATATACTCAAAACAAAAATTATACTCAAAACACCAACCGCCATGAAATATCTCTTCTGAGGGGAAGGCGAGACTGAACGCTCTTGTGAAGCAGTCAACTGCACGTTTCTGGGGGCAAGACGGTTTAGGCAGTGATGGCAGCAAAGCACTAATAGCCTCTCTGGAGTGGTACAGGGAACCCTGGGGTGCTGTGGGTTAGGCGTTGGGCTGCCAACTGCAAGGTCAGTGGTTCAAACCCACCGCCTCTCTGAGGGAGAAAGATGAGGCTGTCTGCTCCACGGGAAACTCTCCACAGGGTCACTCACTAAGAGTTGGAATCTTCTGGGTGGCAGCGGGTTTGGTTTGTTTGGTTTCTGATATGGCTCATGTTCTCTCATTGCAAGTTCTAAGAAAGTTCTGGCCTGGTCCCCCTTTTCCCTTTGCTAGGGGATGTCTGCTGAAGATTGTTTGGGAAGGGCCCTGGAAGGGGAGAAAGTCCTGGCTTTGAGCGCCTCCCCCCACCTTTTTCTCTCTACTCACTCTCTTGGTTGGAAATGTCTTGATAAGGAGAAATGCTATGGAACCTCACAGAGTCCTGGACTCAGGAGCAATTAAAATACTGATTCCATTGCGCCAGGTTCCAAGTCTGCCCTCCTTGCTTTTATTCCACCAATACTTAGTGAACAGCTCCTATGGTACCTTGGGCTGGGCTCTGGGATACAAAGATGGGTCACTGGGAAAGAAAATTAATCCTAAAGCACTGTGACAAACACTGTAACG